CCCCCCCCCCCACACACACACACACACACGATTCTGCCCACCTTCCACAAACAAAAATCAGTGACACAGAGCCACTTCTCACTTGAGTTTTATTCAATATATATTCTTATTATAGGCATTTCTGAATGAAAATTCAATTTTACAAAAAGCTTAAAGTCATGATAAGAGTTTTCATCAGCTCCTCACTGCCTTGTTTCATCCCAACAAGGGGCTGTTTCACGAAATGTAGGATTTTCTGGTCATCTTGGCTTCAGTCAGTGTCACAAAAACAATAATCTGTGAATCACCATGCAGATTTATTCTGTGCAGTTAGACAAGCTTGGAGCAGGCTAACAGCTGGGCTTAGTAAATACTCAAGTTTGTTTTTATTATATTAACCTTTATTTAATCAGGCAAATCCCACTGAGATCACAGATCTCTTTTGCAAGGGAGGCCCTTGTCAAAGGCAGCCTAACATGCATGTTTTTGGTATGTGGAAAGAAACTGGAAAACCCACGCCAGCATGAGAAGAACATGCAAACTCCACACAGAGACTCCAGGTCCAACCAGGGAATGAACCTTCTTGCTGTGAGGTGACAGTGCTAACCACTTAGCCATCGTGCTGCCAAATTTATGGCTCAGTCAGAAGTCACTCTGACAGAATTTTTTTTTAAGTGATCTCAAAAAACATATTTTCATCCAGTTTTGAGGGGTTTAACATAAATTATCTAGTCATAACACAATGTAAGTACACCCAAAATTCGATTGACTTGCGATGAGAATTTTACGTTCATAAATGAAACGACTGTATTGTCACATTGACAGCTAATAATTATATAACGCCTGTCGCTCAAACTGGTTAAGTTTGGTCTGTATCAGTTTGAAAGATTTCCAAAGATCTATTATTATTTTTATGGACTTCATAAAGATAAAGTACCAGTGTCACTAAGATTTTGGTTTTAAAGATCAGCGTGCAAATGAGCTTCTAACAGAACGATAATGTTTTGACAAGTCAAATTCAAATAAAAGGATAATTTTTCAGACCAACACAACAGCAACTTTTGAATCTGCCGCCATGACAATGACAATATCTGAAACAAACTAATAAAACTGATGTAAAGTTTAGTTTTCAAGTACAATTTAGGTCAGTTTTTGTTTTTTTTCTACGCAACTATTAAAGTTAGCTAAATTTCTAAGTAAATTTAGGGGTTAAATTACACTGAAAACACATATTCTTACTTCAAATGTTTCATTACATACATAAAATCACATTAACAAAAGGTTAACTTAATTTTTGATGCTGGGCAGAAAAGTTGTCTGAACAAATAATGACCCAGAATTAATTATTATAATAATAGACAGGTTTTCCCCCTCTGCCCTCATGGTACCAGTATGGAGGTTGAATGCAAGGGTTTTAACCTCCCTGACGCACACACTCATATTTTCACTGCTGTGTCAGTATTGATAAAAAACTCAACAAAAGAAAGTAAGAAGGTTACATGTTTTAAGATCTGAATCAGAATCTCTAAACCTTGGTGTTAGTTTAGATCTTTTAACCCCCACATTAAAGAAGTTACCACTGCCTTCCTCCACCTGCATAATATCACTATAGATTAGACATATCTTGTCCAAAAAATGATGCAGGAAAAACTGGTCCATGCATTTGTCACATCTAGGATGGACTATCGCAACTGTTTATTATCTGTGTAAAAAAAAAAAAAAAACTTTATTAAAAGTCTTCAGTTGGTCCAAAATGCTGCTGCCAGAGTTTTAATGAGACGTGAGAGATCATATCTCTCCAGTTTCAACTTCTCTCCATTGGCTCGCTGCCAAATTCTGAATAGAGTTCAAAATCTTACTTGTAACATACAAAGCGCTCAACAGCCTAGCTCCATTACAAATCTTGTTGTTCCATATTTTCCTAACAGAGCACTTTGCTCTCAGACTGCAGGTTTACTTGTGGTTTCTAGAGTTTCCAAAAGCAGAATGGGAGGAAGATCTTTCAGTTATCAAGCTCCTCTCGTGTGGAACCAACTTCCAGTTTCTCTCCATGAGGCTGACACATTGTTTACTTTTACAATTACGTTCAAGTCTTTCCTTTTTGATAAATCCTATAGTTAGGATCAGCTTAGGTTTCCTGAGTTATCCCTTGGTTGTGCTGCTATATACGTTGACTGCTGGAGGACAAACTGACCACATTTCTTCACTCTGCTACTCTCCACGCTGCCATTTGTAATTATTTTTTCTATCCTTAACATGTTTTTTGTCTTTCCTCCTATAGACGGTACATCTGGACCTGTCGTTCTGTGTTTGTCTGTTTTTACTTCCTGTTCCTCTCAAACCCAGCCGGTCGAAGCAGATGGCCGGTCGTCCTGAGCCTGGTTCTGCTGGAGGTTACTTCCTGTTAAAAGGGAGTTTTTCCTTTCCACTGTTGCCTTCGTGCTTGCTCAGGATGGGAGACTGTGATGAAGTGAAGATTCAACACAATCGGCTGGCTTTTATAGAAAAATAACTTTTACTAAGTGGCTTTTATAAGGTATGTGAATGTTTCTGTACAGTGCCCTGAGACGACTTCTGTTGTGATCTGATGCTATAAATAAACTGAAATGAATGGAGATTATATATATTTTTAAATCAGCTGTAAATTCTCAGTATATCCATTATTATCTGTTGCTCGTTTAAACCGAGCTGAACCAAGTGAGCCATGCTTCAGTATAAATACATCTGTGATCAACTATAAATACATCTGTGATCAACCTCGTGGTCTTTTGAAGTTAGTGACCTCAACAGGGTTGCTTTAACCGGCCTGACTTAGCTGCTCTTTTGACCATAAACCTGATTAAGATGTTCAAACAAAGCCCAGCTTTCTTCTTCCATCGTGGATTAGTCAATTCTACTTTTGGTAAAACAGCCCCCAAAGTCCACCACGTGGGCAGGTTATGATATCAAATAGAACCAAACAGGCATTCAGCTACATAAATGACCAAAAACAAGGAGACCTTACTGGACCAAAGAAATGCTCTTTCCACAAAGCACAAGTTGATTTTTGGTAGATGCTACAATATTCCAATCATGAAAATCAACAAGTTCTGCATAATGACATTGAAATATATAGGCATTGTGTGGCGTTTTACACTTAAAACACATCTGTTTTAACAAGACACAACTGCTCATTAAATTGATACTTTTTTTTGGTCCAATCAATTTTCCAGAAGTTTATAATCTGAACAAAAAGAATACATGTTTTTGTTAAAAACAGCCACAAATATGGACCAACACGTCACTTTAGATTCTGAGTCAGGCCTGCTTGCTGCTTCATTTACACATCTGTGAAGATCTTCTTGATGTTCGCACAGTTCTGCTTGCTCTCCGTGGTGAAGTTGGGCTGTTTGAACACGCTGTTGATGCCCTCCACTATCACCATGTACTCCGACTTGCTGAGGGATGAGGAGCTGCAGGACTTCCTGAGCTCCTCAGACGGGAGGTGCTCGCAGCTCGCCGCGTTCAGGTACTGCTGGTGCTCCTCTCCGTCGGTCTCCCGGTGGTAAAAGTAGTTGAAGTTGGACACGATCACGGGCACGGGTAAGGCAATGGTTAACACGCCTGCTATTGCACACAGCGACCCCACTATTTTGCCTCCGATGGTGACCGGGTGCATGTCCCCGTACCCAACTGTGGTCATGGTGACGACCGCCCACCAAAACGCGTCGGGGATGCTGGTGAAACTGGACGACGGGTCGTCCGCCTCTGCGAAGTACACCGCGCTGGAGAAGAGGATGACTCCAATGAACAGAAAGAATATGAGCAAGCCCAGCTCCCTCATGCTCGCCTTGAGCGTCTGCCCCAAAATCTGGAGTCCTTTCGAGTGTCGCGAGAGCTTAAAAATGCGAAACACCCTCACCAGCCTGATCACGCGCAGGATGGCGAGAGACATCGCCTGTTGACCGCCGTTGGTTTGTCTCTCCGCCAGCTCGGTCCCCAGGGTGATGAAGTATGGGATGATGGCTACAATGTCAATGATGTTCATGATGTTTTTGGAGAAAGTGGTTTTGCTGGGGCAAGTAAAGAACCTGACCAGCAACTCAAAGGAAAACCATATAATACACAAGGTTTCTATCACAAAGAAGGGGTCTGTGAAGGGGCTTGGCACGTAGGGCGCAGTGCCATTAACAGTTGGTGCCACTGTCGCCATGTCTTTCTCATCCCGGAATTCAGGAAGAGTCTCCATGCAGAAAATAACAATCGAAATCAGAATAACGAGCACAGAAACGATGGCTATTCCTCTCGCCGGTCCGGAGCTCTCCGGATACTCAAACAAAAGCCAAACCTGCTTTTGGAAGTCGTTTTTAGGCAGCACGCGCTCCTCCTCTTTTATAAAGCCCTCATCGTCGCGGAATTTCTCCATGGCCTCCTCGCCGAGTTGGTAAAACTTGATTTCCTCTGAGAAGATATCAATGGGGACATTAACGGGTCTCCGGATGCGCCCCCCGGACTGGTAGTAGTAAAGGATGGCATCAAAGCTGGGTCTGTTCCTGTCGAAGAAATACTCGTTCCTGAGTGGGTCAAAGTAGCGCATCCTCTTCCTGGGGTCCCCCAGCAGCGTGTCTGGGAACTGGTTGAAAGTTTTCAGCTGCGTCTCGAAGCGCAAGCCGGAGATGTTGATGACCACCCTCTCGCAGCACCCGCGGCGGCTGCGCTCGTATCGATCCGCGGACAGGTGAGGCGCGGAGAGCGCGGCGCTCTCCTCCAGCGTGTTTTCCACCGTCATCGTGATGTTCCTGCCCGCCTCTCCATAACCCCGGCTGTCTGTCCCGTTTTTGCGCCCGTGCTTGGCTGGCGAGGGCGCTTGGATACCGCTGGACGTATGCTCATCCATACAGGTGTTTATTTCCCCTCACAGTGCGTGGGGGCAGGGGGGGTGCGCCACGTCACTTCAAGCCAAAGCTCCCAGCTTTGGAGAGCTGAGGCGGGCGCCACTTTACATCTCCTCTAACCATCAACAAGCTCTGCGCGTGCACACACGGCGGAGCGCTTCACTCCCATCCTGTGTCTTTTTTTTTTTCTTTTTCTTGCTCCTTTCTCAAACACATCCACGCCCGCCCACGGCGCGCATATGTCGGACGTACGTCCACCACCCGCCCAGCTGGAAACAAAAAGAGCCAGAAACACAAACAGTTGACGGAGTCACAGTTCTGTCACCGTCGCGTGAGGCGCGTTCATTCACGTCAAATGATGCCAAAACGCAAGCGTGCACACAAAACATGCCCTTTTTTATTCTCAGATTAGAAGCTTATATTCCTTGTGAAAACGCAGTAGTTTGGAGTTTGTGTTGTGAATGACTGTCAGAGATTAACAAACGAAGTTTTAGTTGAACATCTGTGAAACTGACTGACTTAAAACCATTTTAAAAAATGTTTCCAAAGTTCAGCTGGCTCTGACGACCATCTTAAAATAGTCTGAATCCTCATTTTAATAAGTTGAAGTGGCAGACTCGGGGATTGTTTGCTGAAGGTTTCAATAGCATCCCTGCAGCTGTTGGTGAGATATTTTGCTAACAGACAAAGTTCAGTTCAAGAGTTGATGGCACTGATTTAAAAAAAAAAAGGCCTCGCACAATCCGTTCATTCTTAAAGTGTTTGTTGGGGATCGGTTTCAGCTACTATCACGTTAAACTTTAGCTGCATATGTTAAAAATTGGGCGAGTTATATTCATTTGTGTTTTTTGAAGGGTCAATAGCTGTGGCGGTCATTGTAAATCAAATTGAGTCTGAAAGCTAATCAATTGTAGATAAACATCCCAGGATTAGTTTCTGAAAGTTTCATTAAAATACGTTCAGTGGGTCATGAGATATTTTGCTAACAGACAAGACAAACAACCGAACCAAACTCAGACATGTAACAACACCATTGATCCGCCTTTGCTTTCGGGTGGCGGGCGATAAATATGACCCCCTCCATCCCAGAAGCATGAACATGAGCAGAACAGTCTCGCGCGCGCTCTTTTGTTTCGTGTTTCTTTGTTGTTGTTGTTGAGGGGGTGTTGCTCTCCATGGTGCTGAAAACAAACCCACAGCCTCTCATCAGTGGTGGCGAGTTTAGCCCAGCTGCTTGGCTCGTGTCAAGATGCAGATAAAAACAAACAAATACATAAATATATTTATAGATACTTAAAATAAAACCACGCTGTGGAACAGGTCCTGACTCGGCGGTCCTGTGCAGACGCACGAGGAGCGCGAGGAGTGCCAGCTTCAGTCAACGCTGAGATTAACGAGGAAAGATGTGAAATCAGAGTGATTTTTAATCTATAATTGATCGTGACACACCTCATCAAACCCTCCTTTCACCGCGTGTAGTGACGCGTGACGTCCACACCAAAAGGTTCAGCTGCATTCAAAGCTTCCTGCACTTTATTTTAAACACCTCCAGCCTATAGACCGGGGTGGTGTGTGCGTATGTGTGTGTGTGTGTGTGTGTGTGTGTGTGTGTGTGTGTGTGTGCGTGGGGGGGGGGGGGTATTATACTGTCTTTGCCTATGAACGTGTTAGCAAAATATGTCATGAACCATAGGTAGATTTTAACGAAACATTTACACAGTGGATAGATATTTAGTGGTTTCCTTTCTGATCCCACCCGATTCAAGATGGATACAGCAGCCAAATGAGCTTCTAAAATGCAAAAATGGCTAAAGGTTTCTATTGACCAGATATTGAGCTAAACTTTGGCGTGGAAGTAGCTGAGACTAATTCATAACACATAAGAGCTACTCGTTGGAGAGAAATGTTGAAAAGTTTGCAGACAATACAGAGATGGTGCATCGCAAACAGTGATGGGTCCGGCTCCAGGCAGGAGGTGGAACACCCGGAGAGCTGGTGAAGGAAGCGCAACTTTCACATCAATGTGAAGAAGATGGAGGAGATGGTCATGAACTTCAGACGGAACAAATACACCTAACACTCCCACACCCAAATATAGGAGGATCTGATGTGGAAGTGGTCTCCAGCTACAAGTACTTGGGTGTGCACCTGAATGACAACCTCAGCTGGGGCAGCAACACCACCAGCCTGATCAGGAAAGCTCATCAGACTCTACTTCCACAGGTGGCTGAGGTGAGCTGGTCTGGGAAGCTCAGTCCTCACCTCCTTCTGTACAGGTGTGCAGCGGAGAGCATCCTGTGCTCCAGCATCAACGTGTGGCATGGAGGCTGCACAGCTGCAGAAAGAAAAGCTTTGCAGAGAGTGGTGAAGGCTGCACAGACATCTACACCTCCAGATGCAGGAAGAGGCCCACCTGCATCATGAAGGACCCCACTCACCCAGCACACACAGTTTTTGCCCAGCTCCCCTCAGACTTGAGGTTGAGGAGCATTAAGTGTAGAACCACTAGACTGAGGAACAGCTTCTACCCTGAAAATGTCCTAATCAGGATCATCTCTGTGAAAGAAAAAAATCAAAACACTGTAATGCCACTTAATTGTTGATATGTGCTGCTGACTATCCATGCTGCTGATCTCATGCTGCTCATTTATTTCATGCTGCTGTGTTCATTTGTACTCATCTGCTCACACAGACTCAAGCTCATGATGCTGTTGTTTGACACATTGCTGTTTTTGTTCTATTAAATATTTAGCATATTCTTAGTTTAGTTTATTTCTTGGTTCATATCTTAGATCTTATCACTGTTTTTCGTTTACACTTTATTCTTTTGTTGGATGTAGCTGGGACCCTGTGTACAACTTCATTCCACCATATGTACCACAGGTGATAGGAATGACAATACAGAAACTTGACCTTGATCTTGACTTTGACCTTGAATTTTGCATGAAAAGTTGTCATAAACTGTTGGCACCAACCTCATTTGTCTATCATCAAAACATCTCACGAGCCACTGGATTGATTTTGCTCTAGCTCTCACTAATCACTGGTTGAACATCAACTGATTAACTTTTGGAGCCAATCCAGTTCAAGATGGTCAAAGCAGCTAATCGGCATTAGCAGCAACACACACGTCATAAAACTTTTTTTTAGATGTTGAGCTAAATATGCTGTAACTGAGACTTGTTCTGAGCACATACTGTGAGAGCTAATCCATCTCTCATGGTCTTGTTATTTACATTTTAAGATTTGTCCAAAACATAGAAATCACCATATCTTTTCTACTTAACAATATTATAGTTCAACACTTGGATATAAAAGGCAAAACAGCATGTTAGATCTTTAATTAGAATTATAAAACAGGTTATTTAATAAAGGAGCAGGCAAATATTGCACGTGACTTTTAAAATTTACAACAAAATATTGATTTCATGTTATTAACATCCACATTTGCGGTTTTGTTAACTGTCATATTTCAGTACTTAAAGGTCTCAAAAGAGCTGCTCATGAAAGAGAGAGCGAGGGAGAGAGAGCGAGAGATAGAGAGAGATCTAGCGCGTGTTGCTTTTTCATGCCAGTGTTTTAGAAATGAGAATGTTGAAAAATGATGGAGGTGCTGTGTTTGGGTCAAACCTTGAAAATGACATTATGGTACATTTTATGCGATGTTACAAGCTGTCACACATAAAGTGAGTTGGGAATGACCATCAGCTATTAACACATTCAATTTCTGTTCAGTATGTGAAAAAACTTACAGAGCTTTGGCCTTTTATATTGGCTAAAGTCATTTAGCTGTGGAGGCCATGTTGAATTGTCTTGAGTCAGGCCATCAGTTGCAGATGTACACCAAGTGATTACTGTCTGAAAGACTGAAAACCATAAAGTGGCTCATGAAATATTTTGCAACAGATATGAGACTAGGACAAATACTATCACCCACCTTCACTTTTCAGCAGCAGGTGATAAAAAAAAAATCCTTCAAAACTCTTAACTTGTAATAAAACATTTTATAGTTTCATATTGAGTTCAAGTTTCTACAGATTTGTAGATCAGGGTTCTAATTTTTCCAAGGTTCAAAGTTCAAGGTTCAAGGTTCAGTAACTTTATTGTCATTCACATCACATGTGGTACATGAGGTGGAACAAAACAGTGTACTCAAGGTCCAAGTTACACCCAAAAATAGCAAAAAACATAAACTATAAAAAAGAAACAGTATATAAGGATCTAAGATATATGCTAAACAATTATAATATGATATAATACGGTGTATTAAACAGCAGCCTGAACATGAGTCTGTTGTGAGCAGATGGGTGTCCATATAGCAGCTTAAGGTAAGAAATCAGCAGCACAGATAAAGTGACAAATCTCCAATTAAAGTGACAGTACAGTGATTATCCTGGTTAGAGATTCATGAGTCTAAAAGCTTCAGGGTAGAAGCTGTTCCTCAGTCCAGTGGTTCAACACAATGCTCCTCAACCTCCTGCCTGAGGGGAGTGTGGCAAAAAGTGTGTGTGCTGGGTGAGTGGGGTCCTTCATGATGCAGGTGGCTCTCTTCCTACATCTGGAGGTGTAGATGTCTTTGATGGTGGGGAGACTGACTCCAACAGACTTCTGTCCAGCCTTCACCACTTATAGGAGCCGAGGACTGAGCTTCCCCAGTCCAACACACAAAACTAAACAAATTAAATTCAGTGTCTCAGCTTTCTGTTTACGTTTTGAGTTTTAGTTATAGTATAAATTTAAAAAAGTTCACAAAAATAAAGCAAGTGATGAATTGTTTTATCAGTCCAACTCTAATTGTTTAATCTCTTCCTGTTGTCGTCCTTTGAAGCACACGGTGACATCCAGAACACACCAACTCAAAAAGCCAACTTTCACGCCACCTTGGATCAAAATAACCTCGCACTTCTCACAGCTTGGTTAGTTTGTGTTAGCATGCAGGCACAGCGCTGACAGTAGTTCAGTCCTGATTGTCCTCTCTTTCCTCGTGATTAATATTCTTTTC